CGGATCCCGTGGGACTGGAATTACGGACAGTTGTTAGCTGCCATGTGGGTGCTGGGATTCAAACCCAGGTCTTCTGCAAGAACAACCAGTGTTCTTAACCACTGAGCCATCTCTCCAGCCCCTAAAGTTGTAATTTAAAATGTACAGCTCAGGCTAGTGTGTAACTCAGAGAAAGAACACATATTTAACATCGGTATAGTCCCCAGCACAGACCAAAACCCCAGTTCAACAGTTACATTGACTTATGCAACTGTCACAATATCTTAGAAGATTGTGTCCATGCTGGAAACAGCCCTGAATGGGCTAACAGCTACTCCTCATCTCTCGGACCACCCCAACCCTACCTTAGCTCTAGGTAACCACTAATCCACTTTGTGCCTGTAAACATTTGCCTATTCTGGACAGTTCATAGAAATAGAATTATGCCATATTTGGTCTTTTGTGATTGGCTTCTTAGAACAGTGTTTTCAAGTTCATCCACACAACGAGAATTCTTTCCCTCTTTAAAAAAAAATTTATTTTTGCCAGGCGTGGTGGCGCATGCCTTTAATCCCAACACTTGGGAGGCAAAGGCAGGCGGATCTCTGTGAGTTCAAGGCCAGCCTGGTCTACATAGCGAGTTCCAGGTCAGCTGGGGCTACAGGGAGACCCTGTCTCAAAAAGACCAAAAAAAAAAAAAAAAACTTTATTTTTTTATTTTTTATTCCAAAGAGAGGTAATTTTTAACACATTTTCCCAGAAATAACTTGGAGCAGGTTACATAAAAAAATGTATACAATGAAGTTTAAGGGAGAAAAAATAGGAATAAGAAATCAAAGACCAAAGGATTTGCCAACATAGGGTCAACTTTGGTGGAATAATGAGTTTCCATTAGCTCTGTTCTTTTTTTGAAAATCCTAACAAGTTTATTGGACTTGCACCCTCCCCCATTTACCTATGCGCTGGGAAGTCCACACTCAAATATAGATAGATCCTGTGACTTCCCAACAGCTGCACAAAATGGCGAGAGAGGTGCGGAGAATTCTTTCCCTATTATGGCTG